AATATATTGTTAGAGGGCCGAGGACCATAAAGACACAGGAGTCATGACCCCAGCAAAGCAGCTCAGGGACCCCGGGCAGCCCAGTGCCACCAACCAGATGGAGGAGGCCACTGGGCAGAGGTCACCGTGGGGAGGGCCCTGAGGCTGGGCAGGACACTCAGGAAATGAGACAGCCCGTGGGGGAAGGCTGTCCGGAGACTGAGGGCTACGTGGGTCTCCCAGGACCTGGGAGTCCCCTGGACACAGGGCTTTCTGTACACAAACTGAGAAAGTTCTCTGAAAACCAGGATGAGTGGGTCACCCTGGGGCTGGATCACTGGGTGGAGCCACCTGGAGAGGGGACAAGCTGTAGCCAGGCTCAGAAGGGTGACGGGGCTGAGCCAGCTGAGGGGAGTGCTGTGGGTGGGCGGCTGTCCCTGGGTGATCTGTGACTTAGGGGACCATCTGGCCTGTGGGCCACTGATGCCAGCCCGAGATTAGCCTGAGCTGCACTGGTCACTGCCCTTGAAGCCAGTGATGTAAGCCCCGGTGTGGAAATAGTGACGCCAGTGGCCTCCTGGCCCTCTCCATGGGTCAGCAACTCTGAAAGAGACCAGGTGACGCAATCACTGGTCTCCCTGTGGCCTCCTTCCCTTCCTCACAAGGTCATAGGTCACCCTTCATCTTCCCTGGGACTTCTGGGGTGTGGTGAGGGGCAGCTACCCACCCGTCAGGAGAGGCAGGAGGGGAGGGTGGAGTTAGGAGTCCCACGGTGAACCGTGGGGGGAGCTCTGAGCATGCCCTGACCCCTCCCAGGGGACCTCACAGCCACCCTGGTGAAGGTGTCCAAGCATGGGCCCCTGCCCCTTAAAACAACAAAACGTTCATCTTTCAGTTTCAGAAAAGAGAGCTCCAAATCAGGGTCCCTGGGCTAGAGTCTCAAGGTCAGCAGGGCTGGCCCCCGCTGAGGCTCCAGGGAGAACGTGGCTCTGGCCCCTTCCTTGCATCACTCCGACCTCTGCTTCTGTGGCCACGTCTGCTCACCCTGCCCTCCTGCCTTCTTGTTAGGACCCCTGGGTTTCCACTGGGCCCCTCTGGAAGGTCCAGGACTGGGCCCGCCCCAGGTCCATAACTGAGACACACCACATATTCCCTTTGGCACAGAAGGTAGCATATTCCCAGGCTCCAGGGGGCGAGGACGCGGGCACCCTGGACAGCCTTCATTCATCCCGGCACTCCTGCTCCTGTTCTTATTTTATAGACGAGGGAGACCGGGGCTGGGAGAGTATCCAAGGTCAGGGTCAGGTTGGGAGTGAAGTCCAGGCCCTGGAGGGCACGGTCCTAGCTCACATGGTTCATAGGCACCTTTACAAGACCAGTGAGAAGGGCCCCTTTCTTTGGGAAGTGGTGGCCGATGCCAGGAACCTGGCTTGGGGAGTGGCAGGGCCGGACGTCAGCCCCGGATGACATCTAGGCTGGACATCTCTGTGTAGCTGTAAGTGGCCTCCCCCTGGGGTCCCTTTTAACCAGGGCTAACAGGTGGGCTTTGGGGGAGCAGGTGGGTGGATGGGACGAATGGAGGTGGGCTGCCTCCCTGGGTCAGTTGTGCCCAGAACTGCCCCCTCCTATGTGTCCCGGGCAGCTGCTCCCAAGATGAGGAAGCGGAAGGACAGCACGAGAGTCCCTCCTTCCCGGCCAGGTGGACCCTCTGCCTTTCAGGAAGAGCCAACTCTCAAGCTCACCTTCAAGATGGTCGTTGGTGAACTTTTTCTGTAGCATGTCCACTCACCCTCAACCACTATGGCAGGACTTCAGTAGCTGTGGACAGTATGTTAATGAGCCTTGTGGCTGTGTTCCCTCCCAGGACCACCACCAAGGGGAAGTTTAGGAAGAACTGTGAGGCAGAGAAGGCCCTGCCCGACTTGTCCAGCCAGGAGGTACTGGGTTCTACTGGGAGGCAGGGCCTCTCTGATGCACAGCGGCCCCTAGAATGGTGAGAGTTGTGGGGGTCCAGGAGTGGGCGTGTGTGCAGGGCCAGCTGCCGACGTCACTGCACTGAGTCCCTGGGATGCTCCAACCTTGCTTCCTCTGTGCAGTGCCATGTGCAAAGCCAAAGTGGGGAGGGCTTTGGAGAAGGTCGTGGATCTTCCCTGAGCCACGGCAAGTCAGATACTAGCTGGCAGATCACCGATCTCACTCCTCGGCCCTCTCCAGATGGGAGCTCTTCAAATCCAGGGTTAGAGGCCCAGCTCCTTCAGGGCAGCCAAGGAGGGTCAGACTAACGCCATCTGCTGTGGGACGATCTGGAGTCTGTCTTTAACTCATGCTGGGCCTGGGCAACTGTGCAAGTGGAGAACATGTGTCATTTGTCAAAATGTGTTCGAGGTGTGAGTCGGCTAATGAATCCTGGAGCAAGATACACCCCCGCCCCTCGCCTTGGTGAATGCACCGCCACTGCAGGAGGTTGGACCCCACACGGCCTTCTTGGACTGCTCCCGGTTACTTCTGGTTCAGCTTGGCTGGCCTACAGTGGCACAGTCATTTGGTCATATGCTAGAGTAGATCTTGCTGGGAAAGTACTTTTTAGATATGACTGATGTTTAAATCAGCAGGTCACCCAACACACTGTGCGTGGGCCTCATCCAATCAGTTGAAGGCCTTGGGAATAAGACAGGGGTAGACTCTTCCAGGAAAGGAAGGGACCCTCAAGACCCAAACATGGAGACCTGGCCTGAGTTTCCAGCCTGCTGCCCCAGGATCTGGACATAGACGGCAACACCAACTCTACCTGAATGTCTAGCCTGCTGACCTTAAAAACTTCATAGGCACTAGGCCCCGTAATTGCATGTGCTAATTCCTTATAATAAATCTCTATTTCTCTCTCCCCAAACACATGCAAGCAAGTGAGCTCACACATGTGCACACATACAGAGCTGGCCCTCAGTAACCACAGGGGTTGGTTCCAAAACCAATTCTTGGGTACTCAAGTTCTTTACATAAAATGGCATAGTATTTGCATATGACCTACACACATCCTCACTTATACTTTATTTTTAAAATATTTTACTATTTTAAATATTGATTATAATTTGGTACTGGGGATTGAACCCAGGGGTGATTTACCTCTGAGCTACATCCCTTGCCCTTTTTAATTTTGAGACAGGGTCTCACTAAGTTGCTGAGGCTAGCCTTAAACTTGCCTCAGCCTCCTGAGTCGCTGGGATTATAGGCTTGTACCATCACGCCTGGCTTCTCACCTATACTTTAAACCATCTCTAGATTCCTCATGATGCCTGATTCAATGAAAATGTCGTGCAAATAGTTGTTTTACTCTTTTGTTTAGGGATTAATGACAAGAAAAGCCAGTGTATGTTAAGTTGAGATGTGATTTGCGATTTTTTACCTGTGGTTGATGGAATCCTCCAATGTGGAATCTGTAGATACTGAGGTGTGTGTGTGTGTGTGTGTGTGTGTGTGTGTGTGTATGTGTGTGCATGCACACGTGCACTAGCAATTCTGTGTCTTTTATGAACTCGAATGCAGGCACTGGGGCTTCTAGGCTGGACCTGGTCCCCAGGGAGTGGGCCCTGGCCAGCCCTGCCCCCCTTTTCTTCCCACCCTTTGTTTGCTTATCCCAGCCCCATTCACTGTCGTCTCCAGCTCATAAACACTGCTCCTTGGTACCACCCTGGTGCCAAAGGCTGTGGACGCCTATGACATTGAGCTTTCACAAGAGCCCACAGGCCTAGGGGAAGGCCCGTGTCCAGGTTTAGAAGGCAAAGGCAGAGCTGGGTGGACATGTCCTCTTGGCCCCTGGAACCCCTGGCCTTATAGGAAGGAGCACGTGAAAAAGAAAGAGAAGGACCTTCTAAAGCAAGGCCCAGGGCAGAGCCAGGGTCCTGGTGTGGCCTGCTGCGCATTTACAGTGGCGCCAGCCTCATCTCCAGCCCTTGCTCCCCACCCCCTGGCCAGGCGGCTGCCACACGGATCTCTCCATCTCTCTGTTTTGTCAGGAACTAGAAGCCGACAGTTCCCAGTGCTGTCCTGTTGGGGCAGGCTGGAGGGCTCTGGGTGTCCTGAGAAGGCAGGGCTTGCTGACCTGATTCCTGGGCTCGTGGTGTCGTGACCTTGTGGAAATCGGTTGAACTGTTACATATGACGTGTGCATTTTTCTGTCTCTGTGTCACACTCCAATAAAAAGCTTAATGGAAACCAACCAGAGCCATGGCCAAGTCCACGGAAGACGACTGAGGCCCGGGTTGGCGGTGGGCGGTGTTTGGACCCTGGATCTGAAGGTCAGCTTGGTGATTCCTCAGGGGACCTGGCAGGATGCCCCAAGGAGCTGTGGGTTAATTTCCTCTCTCCCCTGTGGTTCAGGGCGGCTCCCTGCGTGGGATCATCATCTCCCAGGGAACCTCAGAGTCTGACTGGTTCTTCCTCTGACCCCAGCCGCATCAGCCGGGGAGGGGACCCTGGCAGACCTTGCAGTTCTCCGCAGTAATGTCCCTGAAACCTCCAGGTCCCATGGGCTGCAGGGTCTCCTCCCATTCCTGACATCACACTGCCCCCTGCTGGGACAACTGACAACTCATCTTGGGCCCCGGGGACAAGGAAGGGTAATGAATTAAATCCCAGTCTCTGGAGCAAGGCAGGGTTTTGAAGGAGAGCCAGGAATTGAGCGTGGGCAGCACTCACCCGTGGCAGGAGGGAACTGCCCGAGGAGGTGGGACAGGGAGCTGTAGCCCTCGTCCAGCGCTCCTCCGCCAGCAGCCCCAGCTCCACACCACCCTGACCCCGCAGGCTGAGGGGCGCAGGGGAGCCAGGGTGCCCATCCCCAGAAGTGTCTGATCCCATCGGTGGGACTCAAAGGTGATATCACAGCACCCTGTGCCACAGGTGACCTGTCAGTCACACTGCTTCCCACCTGAGTCACTCAATAATGTGCCTGCACCCACTCCTCACCCCCAAACAAAGGCAGCCCTAAGGAGGCTGGAAGGAAGAGAAAGTCAGATTCAAAAGAACCCTAGTGAGTGGCTTGAAAACAAGCATTCTTTATTATTATTATCATCATCATCATCATCATCATCATCATCATCATTATTTTCTGTGGTGCTGGGGATGGAATCCAGATCTCTAGTACTGAGGGCATCCTCAATCTTTTTACTTTATTTTGAAACAGTGTCCTACTCAGTTGCTGAGGCTGGCCTTGAACTTGGGATCCTCCTGCCTCAGCCTCCCTTGCTGGGATTCCTGGCCTGTACCACTGTGTTGGTCAACAAGCACCGACTTGACTGGGAGGGAACACAGCAGCGCTCAGAAGCTGTGGCATTGGGCTGTGACTTCCTGCTGCACATTCACCCTCTGCAAGGCTCTTTGGGATAGACAGGTGACAGCCTTCATCCTAGGACCTACACCATCAGTTCACAAAGCAAGAAACTGGACGGACAAGGTTAAGGTCAGAGGGAGTGGTGAGTCTGCAGAGGTTGCTGTCGGCGGTGTCCACCTGTTCTCTTGGTCACAGAGTTCCTTTCAGCTGCTCTTGATGTCTGGCTGGTGAAGACGTACTTGGTGACAACCTCAGGCATCCAATCAGTCAGTGGAGGGAGGGCAGGACAGTCTGGGTTCTGGGATCTAGAACAACGGTGTGTGAAGCCCACCCGATTATTCACTGGCTGGGTTGTTGAGAGCCACAGCCAAGGGGCCCCAGCAAACTTTTAGACTGCCAGCTGCTGCATTTCGCCTAGCCGTCTCCTTGCAAAATTCCTCATTGGAAACCTTCCATAACAGGTATTGACCTCCATTTAGCACAGCTTTACACATATTAGCCCAATCTGCTGGCGTCATGTTCAAGTTGTTAATGGATTCGACCAAGCTTACAGTGAAGGGTGCTTGAGGACCATAGGTTGTTACAGCCTCTTTTAGCAGCTTCACTATTTTGAAATTTAAACCATGGTGAATTTGCTGCCCTCCTACCTCAAATACAGGGCATGTTAATACTTGAGATCCTGTCTCAGGATCCCAACTATCAACTGCGGGGGTTGGGGGCCTCCCAGCATATGGAGGTGGCCTTGTTAGTTGGACATTTACGTCCTCTGGTGATAGAAAGGTGTTAGTAGCAGTCTCCTGTAGAGGTGGCGCTGTTGGTTGGACACTTACGCCCTCTGATAGAAAGGTGTTATTAGCAGTCTCCTGTTGTAACTTTTCCCCTGATGGCTTTTTCTGCTCTAAGGTTTCTTCCTCTATCTTTGTCTGAAGTGAAGGCTTTGGACTAAGCAAACGTCCACAATGGCAATGTGCCAACTGGAAGAGTCCCTGGGCTTTTCTTTTCTATTCTTTTTGAATCTTCACCATGATGGTCCCACTGTGGTATATTTAACAACTCCTCCTCAAAAAGCCATGGGCTACATTTTTGTATTGTATCAACGTATGCCCTGACTGTTCTGGATTTTACTGAGATGCCTCCTTCCTCTAACAATTTACTTAACACTCTTTCGGTTTGTTTTTTCCTAATTGCTGATCCCGTATTTCTACTATAATAAAACCCAACAAGATAACAGCAAACAAAACCGAGACAGAATCCAATAAAAATGGAACCACACAAAATTCTTTATAGCCTTTCCATCCTCCTGACGAGTGCATCCGTCCTTTCTCCCTATCTGTTCCTCAGACGCAAATAGTTCTTCCTCAGAAGTGAGCGGTTTTTCTTCCCTCTCACTCATCTCCAGGGAGAGGCAAGTTAAAACAAAAATGAAGCAAAACAAAAGAGGAATCTTAGAATGGCTCCCCATCCTCCCGCCCTGCCCTCAGGGGCGAGCAGTTTACCTTATCACTTACCCTCAGTCGCTCCCCGCGGGAGCCACCAAATGCCGCAGTCTGTCTGGGCACAATCAGGAGCCACTTGTCAAAAGAAACTAACTTTATTTTTAGAACCACAAACGCCAAACAAAACAGCTCCTCAGGGAAAACCCTCAGAGCCCAACTGCCACCACCGGCTTCCACAAGCCTCTCACCCACACCAACCTCACCACCTCCCACAATCCTCCTGCTCTTGAGGCCGATTGGCTGGGTCGCGTGGGCGGAGCCAAAGAAGTCCCCCCATGAGCAGCTCCGTGGTCTGAAAGGGCAGGGAAACAGCCCAATGAGCATCATCGCAGAGGAGCCAATCAGCTAGATGTTGCTGGGGCCGCTGTGAGCCAATCATCAGCCGGCAGCTGGAAGTTTGCTGGGGCCCCTTCGGCTGTGGCTCTCAACACTGTGTGACACTGGACTGGTCACTTAGCCTCTCTGAGCTTTGGTTTCCCCACCTTAAAGTGGCGATGCCTGTGACTAGCTCTCAGGGAAGCTGTGGTGTTGGCTCTAGATGTGAAATGGACCTAGGACAGGGGTTCACGTGTGAGTGCTTTTGTAAGAAGTGCTTCTGGGGAGACTAGGAATTTGGGAACAGGCCTGGAAGGGTGCAAATAGAGCAAGGGCAGCAGATTCAGATGAAGCCTTGCAGGGGGCAGTGTCAGCTTGACCCTCAGGGACCATGGGTGTAGGTTGTGACACCCGTTGGCTGTGCAGAAGCTGGGCCCCTGTCAGTGGGTGGAGCCTCTTCCTCCAGGTACTGCAGCTAGAGGTGCAGAGCCCACTGCAGCAGGGGCAGGTGCCCCCAAATGTCCTTGGAAGAGTGTCCCCTCCAGGTCCTTGTATTGAAGGCCTGCCTCCAGGCTGACACTTGTGAGGCGGAGCCTAGTGGGAGGTCCTTGGGTCATGGGGAGTGTCCTGGGGAGGCGATGGGGCCCCAGGACATCCTCTTTGTTTTTCTGCTTCCTGGCTGTGATGTTCACAGCCTTTTCCACCTTGTGCTCCTGCCATGAGTCGCTGGGGCCAGGGGAACTGGATCATCACACCTTGGTGAAGCTGTCCTTTCCAGAGGCCAAAGCTCAGGGCCACCCAGTCTTGTACTGGAACCTCCAGAACTGTGAGCCAAATAACCTTTTTTAGTTTATAAGTTTTTTGCCTCAGGTAATTCACTATAGTAATGTGAAGCTGACCCATACATCCTCCAAGGGAATCTGGGAAGAGAACTACAGGGGCCACTACACAATCAAGTGAGAAAATGTATATGATATGTATTAGCTTGGGCTGCTGTAACAGAGCACCAGGGACCTGGTGGCTTAGAAACAACAGAAATTTACTTCTCCTGGCTTCCAGGATGGAGGTCTGAAATCATGGTGCCAGCATGGTTGGTACTGGTGACACCCCCTTCTAGGCTGCAGGCTGCTGCCTTTTCACCATGTCCTCACATAGCAGAGAGAGAGAGAGGGCTCCTTAGGGCTTCTTTTATAAGGGCACTCATCTCATTCATGAGGGTTTATCCCTCATAAATGATAACCATGAGCTCAGGGATCATGATTTTGACATACGGATTTGGGGCACAAAAATTAGTCCATTGTGTGAAAGATTGCAAACTATAAAGTGCTGTGCATAACGGTGGCTAGGTTAGGCCCTCCAAACTGACAATAATTACATGGGGTTTCTCTTTCCCTAACCCCACCCTACAACTCTACTGACAAGGAACAGAAAGAAGGAGGGAATTGGATATATTCTAATTATTTGGGGGACAGGACCAAGCTGTCCTGGCCGGGTCCTGGGTTCCAGGACTCATTGGTGGGAAGCACCTGACCCATCAGCTAGAAAAGCTGACACTTTGGGTGGATAGACTCAAGGTGCAGACTGGCAGGAGCAAGAGAAGCCAGGTGACGGCAGGGCAGAGTGAGGTGGCCCCAGGGAGTCCAAGGGGTTACAATGAACAGGATGGGCCCCTGCAGCTCCTCAGCTTGAAACGGGCCCTTTCCCATGAGGTTATGGTATCAACCAAGACTCTTTCATTACCAGGGGCAGAAATCCAGCTCAAACTGGTTCAGCCATGCAGGGAACTGACCGGCTCTCACAGAGTAGGCCGTGGGGCACGGCTTGACTGAAGGGCCGGTGGGACCCAGCAGGAACCAAGCTCTTTCCCTCGTGGACTTGGTGCCTCTATGGCTTTGTTCTTAGTGGCTCTTTTGCAGTGGCAAGAGGGCGGCCACCACTGCAGGCCCACATCCTGTGCTTCCCCAACCAGCGGAAAGGCAGCCCCTGGGGGTGCTCACAAGTCAGAGTGTCCCTTCTGCTTCCACCTGTCAGTCATCTCCGACCCAGTCGCTGGGGCCAGGGGAACTGGGTCGTCACAGCTCAACAGCCTGGAACCATGTGTCCACCCTGTGCATATCTCAGGATTCAGGCCACTCAGCCTGGGTGGACAGAGTACGCAGACTGAGAGGTGTGGCCTCCCAGAGAAGGTGGGTGCTGCCCCCAAAGGAGTGACAGGAAACTGGTGCCAGACCAGCTCGCACGCCTGAACCACCACCTGACCCGGGGCCCCTGCAGAAGCCACACAGGGGACACCCTGTCCAACTTAGAAGAGGGTCCAACGAAGCACAGGGCACCCCTGGGCCTTCACCAAGGTGGCCATCCCCGGGCTGTCACTCACGTGTAGACACAGCTGGTGTCCTTGGAAGCTTAGCCACAGGGAGCACAGGGACCCATAGCTCCCACCACAACAAGCCCTTGCCTCCAGCCCCGGGCTCACTTTGGCCCCCCGCCATGCACCTCCCTGCTGGACGGCACTCTCTGGTCCTGTTCTTTCCTTCTTCTTGTCCACCTTCCGCATCACAAGGGCAGGTCTGTGGCTCTCCATCAGCCCGGTTTGCAGGACAGCGCCTGGCTCAAGGCTGCTACTGAAGAGCGAGTCAAGGGGCTTCTCTTCTCCCTCTGGCTTCTGCCACCCCAGGGCTTCTTCCACGGTCACACCTCACACCCTGGCTCTTGAGCTGATCCTCTGTCCACCCCACACCCCAAGACAGGGAATAGGTGCCCTGCCTGGTGGGAGCACCTGTCCCAAGGCTGGGACATGGGATTGAGGACACTTACAGAGCCTAAGCCAGTACCCCAGCACCCCCAGCACCCCAGCACCCCCAGCACACCTAGCCTCCCCAGCAACCCCAGCATCAGCGTGAGCTACTGAACCGGGGTCACTCCAGTGAATTTGAGGTGACACGAAATGACCACTCAGACACGGAAAACACCTTTTCTGGGCGCCAGGACGGCTTCCCCTCCTCCCGCTGCAGGCTCCCACACAGGGCAAGAGAGAAACACGGAGGCCGGGGAGAGTCAGGGAGCACGTTCTGAGGCTCAGCTTCTGTTATGGTGGCGCATTCCATGGAACATTCTATCCCCAAAAGGGCAAAGGGTGGGGTTACAACACACAGGTGGGTGTGATTCAAACCCATCTGGTGACACCCACTCCCAGGGCTGTGCCTTTCTGTCTGAGCAGAGGCAGGTCCACATGCACTGCAGTGGGTGCAGTGCCGGTCCAGCACCTCCCGGCTCAGGATGCGTGCCTAGCTCCTGTTCAGGGTGGCTCCTGATGATGCCCAGCAGCCCAGCGTCCCTAGCATGATGGCTGCTGGTTGCCGTGGTAGTTAATGTTATTTGTGTGGCTTGCAGAAAAGGCGCCGGCAGCCTGGCTCGGGTAGATGTATTTATCACGGGGCCAGCTCGCTGCCTGCCAGCCCAGCACTCTGCAGGACCAGAGCTTGAGAGGCCAGGTGGAAAATCCCCAGGGGGGCGGGCTTTGGAGACCACATATTGGGCAGCCACGTGGCTAGGCGGCCTGGCCAGGGCCATTACGGGGCCCATTGTGGTCCTAGGGTCCTGTCCTTTCCCTTGCCCACCCCCACCTCCAGCCCCAGAGGCTGGCAGCTCAGGGCAGCTGGAGCCTGGAGGGTCCTGCTCCCTTCTGGGTCCCCTCACCCCAGCTCCCATTTCTTTCTTTTTTGGCTCACAAATGTGAAAGCCTGACACCCACCAGGAGGCACCTCCTTTGTCTTCACCTCCCTCCCTGTTGGCTCACTTAGCTGTCGGGCAGTAGGCAGGCTGGGAGTGGCCAGGCTGCGCGCTCTCCTCATGCTGCAGGCCAGCCTCGGCTGCTCCGGCCTCCAGACTCAACTGAGAGAAAGCTACCAGCCTTCTGGGGCCCAAGACCAGAATCACCTAATTTCCTGTCTCCGTCATGAGTTATATGGCCTTGGGCAGGAAAACCCTGTGCCTCAGTTTCCTCATCTGTAACATGAGGATAGTAATAGTACCTGCACGGTAGCAGCTCACACAGAGAGCTCGGTGCTGCCCCAGACATCTGGTGAGTGCCACATCAATGCCTGCTGTTATCAGTGAGCGAATGAATCAAAGTTCATCTGCATCCTCGAAGCTCCCGTGTGGTTGAAGTGTTGTGGCCTGCTCATTCAGGTACCACTCCTCATCCTCTGAGCACTTGCTGGGTGTGCTGTAAGCCAGGTGCTGCACCAGGGGGTGGGGGTAGAAAGTTAAGTGACAGAAACCTTCCTGCTGCAGGGCACGGATGGCAGGGAAAACTGACAGGTGAGTGCAGGCAGCCTTGGGGATCTGCTAGACCCTGGCAGTGCAGAGGGCTTGGGAGGGGAGCTGAGGAGGCAGGAGCCCATCTTGGAGGGGACCCCGGAGCTGAGCTTTCAGAGATGAGCACAATGGAAATCAGACAAGGAGGAGCGAGAGGATTCTGTTTGTCTTGTTTTTTTTTTTTTTTTTTTTTTTTTTTAATTATCATAATAGAAAACAACAAGAGCAACAATGCTAACAAAGGGGAAGATTTCACCACTGGTTTTACATCCTTGAAAGTTACACATTTTTCATCAAAAGAACACACTGAAATCTCACGTGAAGAGAGAGAGGCTTTTCACCACTGAAGTCAGTGGTCTCATGGGAGTAGCAAAGACCTACAGAAGTAGTTAAAACACCTTTGAATCAAGGAAACTGCAGCTAGATTATGAAAACGATCGTAAGACACAAACGTTTCTGAATCTGTCGGCATGAAGGACTGTTTTCTGCACATGGCAAGTTATAAGAATAAGAATTCTGTAAAGGCTTAAATAGTAGGGAGGGCAGGAGGAGGGCTTCAGCAGGGGAGAGAGCTGGGCGCTGTGGGAAAGGGTCCGAAAGAGGAGAGGGTACAGGCTGGTCCCCTGCTGTTCACCGGCCTCCCATGCCACCCCACCCCCAAACTCTTCCCCAGGCCGCACTTCTAAGAGGGGCTGAGGTGGGCCGGTCCCTGGAGGTGCCAGGGACCCAAGCCACTGGTGGGACATGTTTAGCCTCAGTGTCCCACCCACTTTGTGGGGTCTTCTCCACTTAGGCTGGGAGTCCTCACAAAAGCCGCAGAGAGTGGAGACAGAGTGGCGCAGGCTCCCAGAAGTCCCATCCGACTTGTCAGGGGTTCCCCTTGTTGTCCCCGCGGGGATGCTCTGCACTCAGGCGGTGGCCACAATGACCACTGTTGCTGGGAAGGCTTTTATTTATTCAGTGTCTCACAAGAGAGCAGAAGAGGAGGTTTGGGAAAACCCTCATCATTTTGGAGTCAGCGATAGTTGGGCCGAGAGCAGGGTTTCCCACCCTGGGCCTTGCTGGCCTTCGGGGGCTGGCTGACCCTTTGTCACGTGGGTCTGTCCTGTTCCCTGTGGAACAGGCAGCAATCTGGCCTCCACCCACCAGATGCCATCGACACCCCCCCATACCCATGCACATCAAGTGGTGATAACCAAAATTGTCTGTAGACATTGCCAAATGTCCCCTTGGTGGCAAAAGTCCACAACCGAGAACCACTGACCAGTGGAATCTGAAACCTGTAGTCAGGAGCCTGGGACCCTCTCTCCTGCAACCAGCTCCACCTGGCAGTGAGCCCAAACCTCCTGGGGACCCGGCCTCCTCCAGTCAAAGTGTCACCATGCCCTCCTGCAGCTGCCCTGGCAGGCAGGACTATCAGAGGACCATGGGGACAATCTTTGAACTAAGTGCTGCAGCTTCTCCTTCACTAAGATGTCACATAGACTGTGGTGAGACCAACTCTGGGGCCAGGGACTGGGGTGCAAGGTGGGCACATCCCCTTCAGGTGTGCCCTGTGCATCTGCTGGGACTTATTCCTGTGGCAACAGCTCCAACCTGCTCTGGGGAGGTGGAAGTCAGCTTGACAATGACCCAGAGGCTGAGCATGAGCCTCACCAAGGCTGGGACGGGGCCACCTGGGCGGGTGCAGGGCCAGCTGGTCAAGAGATGGGTGCAGGGCACAGGGCCATGGGGCGGCCTCCTCGGGCCAGTGCCTCAGTCCTCCCTGCTTTCATTTTCTTTTGACACTGGCAATCTGGCTACCGAGTCCTGGGGCCAAACCTGGCCCTGGCCTCAGAGGCCCACCCTGGAAGGCTCATGCTGGGGGCGGTGGGTGCAGGGAGGGCAGGCGGCTGGCCAGGGAGGCCGGAGCTGAACTCGTGCTCCTTGCTGTGGGCTCTCAGGCCTGTGGCCTGCCCGTTTCCTCAAGAGAAAAGTGGGGTGACAACGTGCACCCCTCGGCACCCCCACAGCTGTCCCCAGGGGAATTCGGGAGGAACATGACACAGCACAAAACACCAGGGAGACGTGTAGAACAGCAGCAGGAGAGGAACTAGGGACCTGGCTGCTCATGGTGAAGGGAGCCACCAGCTGAGTGGGGGGAGAGGCCTGGTCTGCGGCTCCAGGCGGATCCTAACATCTGCTAACGGGGTCTGGCGGGCTCCCAGCTAGAAGCTGGCTTCTTGCCTTTCCAGCCACCTGGCGCCAGCCTGTTCTTCCTTCCTGCCCCCTAGGACCCTGGGGACTCCTGCAAGGAGACACAGTCATCTCTCTGCCTCTTGATATCGATTTCACGGAGCGCAGAGAATATTCCAGCAAAAGCAGCCCTTCTCCGAGGACCAGCTACTCGAGAGGCTAGTGCCTCCTTCCTCAGCACTGACCCGTCAAACCAGAGGGGGCCCTGGGTTCCGCCTCACCTAGGGAGAGGCCAGACTGGGCCCCAGCTGGAGTCTGAACCAAGAACATCTGTGTCCCCTCCTCTGGAGAGCCCTGGTCCTCAGAGAGAGGGCTGTGTCTAAGCTGAGGTCAACGTGCCACACGGGCCGTCCCACGACCTGACCTGGCAGTTCTGCTGGGAGGAGCGGCTTTCCCAGAGTGCACTGCCTGAGGGCTCCCGGTCAGGGCCCCCCTGCATGCATCCCGACAAAGGCAGTCTTTGGGAACCTCACTGGAGCCTTATGAGGAGACCTGTGGACCATCTTAAACGGCTGGGGGCAGCATCAGGGACCACTTGATGAGTCAGGCCGAGAAGGAACGGGCAGGGGTTGAGCGCGCCCAGTTCTAGGATGACCAGAGACCTGTGAGAGCCAGAGCTGGCCCAGGGAGTGTACCTTGAGAAGCAGACTCTGTGGACCCAGGGCCTGGTCTAACAGAGCCCTGGAAGTGACACCGGCCACAGAAGGACAGTATGGTGTCACCGAAAGAGCCTGGCTTTGAAGCCCAGCTTCCCAGTTCCAGGCCTGGCTCCTCACTTGCATGCTGTGTGGCCTCAGGAGAGTTACTTCACTCCTCTGCACCTCTAGCACCTCTCCTGTGCACTAGGGAAATGATGTTGCCTAGTAACCGCGAGGATGAAGGACGGGCATGCGAATGTGGCGCTGCACCTGACCCGGTGCTCAGGCACAGGAGCCAGGTCTGTTTTTCCCTCACCTGACCAAGACAGGACCACAGAGGCCGGGGGACAGGGCGGCTCGCTCTCTGGCTGGAAACCCATCCCTTGCTCCTCACTGTTATCCGTGATGACGGGATAAAAACAGCAAGGACACCAAGAGAGCCACTGGGATCTGCACACTGTGGTGTGGACAAGGTGGCCCCAGGGCACCCCACTGTCTGTGCCCTGACTCTGGAGAGAGACTTGAACACTGAATGTAACTGACGTTTATGTGTGCATGGGGGTGCGTCGTCCAGGAGACCCCTGCAGTCACAAGTCCCCAGGGACTGGAACGCTGGCGTCCTTCCCGAGGCCACATGCCACTTTTCCTTCCTGCCTCTCTCCCTGGGTCACGCAGACACAGCGCCCTCTCCCACCCGCCTTCCCACGGCTGTATGGAGACCTGCTTCTTTAAAGGGATACAGGTGCCCCTGGGGACATGAGGCCAGAAGCTGGGGCATCAGAAAGCCCTGGCACTGAAGTGCCCCAGAAGATGCCAGGCATGCCCTCGCCCCTGTCCTGGCTCTGGACCCCCCCTCCTTGGGTTCTCAGGGAGACATCCGTCTAAGAAAGCCTTGTTCGGGGGGCAGACCTGGGGCATGGGGAGGAGGGCGCTGCTGGCAAAGTGGCGGGGTGAACACCCAAGGGCCCTGTGGCGTGGAGGCTAACTACCCAGTCCAGCCGGCTGTCCGTCAGTGAGTCCAGAAGGAGTCCCAGGCAGACGGTCCCAAGTCCCTTATCCCAGGCTGTAAAGGTCAGGCCGGTTCCTCACTGAGCAGAAGCATTTGCAGATGGATGCGTGCTAATCACAGCCGGCAGCCGCCATGGCTCTGTCTGGAGGCCGGGCTGGTGAGCCTGTTATCACGCAGCTCCCAGAGACGAGTGGCCACTTCCGGACAACCCAGGTGCCCTTTACCTATCATCAAGAACCCTCATGTCCCCTGAGACAGCAGTGATGGGGTCAGGATTTCTGCAATCATCCCCAAACACACACAGGGGCTTCTTTACTAGCCTTCAAAGTCTCTCCATCGCAGAGTGGAGATTTATGCCACTTACCTTCTTTTCTGTAGTGGAGGGAGAAGGGAAGGAGAAAGACCCCTGGGCCTGTGGCCACTCAGTCCTCTCTGAGATCCTTCCCACTGTCTGCACAGGGAGCGGCCTTGGGAAGGTGGTGCAGTGGCCTTGTGCAGTAACTTCCCAGGACTGGGCCCTGCGCGTCCCACCCTGCTCTGCTGTTTGCTGGGGACCCTCCTTGTTTAGCAGGACCCCCAGGGAAACTGGAGCTGCAGAGGAGCACACCACAGCCAAACTGGCCCCAAATACAGGCAGATGCACAGCCTGCCGCCTCCCACCTGGCTTCTGCACCCCTGGAGGGTCACGCCACCGAGGGCAGCTTCTCCAGTAACCGGACCTGGGACCACATGCAGACCACAGCCCTCTCCGTCCCATCCACCCGACGATTAGGCGGACGGGCATCTTTCCCATCTTAGGAATTCCAGGATTCCTCCGAGGAGAAAGAGCAACTTCATTTGGGCAGCTGAAAAGTTAACTGCTCAGCAGAAGTAGTTTTGAAGGTGTCCCCTTCTCTTCTTGAAAAGATGAGGAAGTCCATCCAGCCCTGGACACCAGTGTCCCCGAAACCCCACCATGTGACCAGTAACCCCCCATCCCTGGGTTTCCTGATGTGCCCAGGGCCCTTAAGGGGCCAAGTGCCTGGTGATGAAGGCCATTTCCGAGTCACATTAGGGCAGCCCTATGGCCCTGTGAGATGACCACCAGCGTTACCAGGGGCTGAACAGGAAACCCAGCTGGGCTGGGATCTGGAATGTTCCAGGAGCTGCTCCTGCCCAGTCCCCACACGTGGGGTTTGGCACATTTGTAAAAAACAAGACACAGCAGCGATCATTTTATGGTTAGCAAGTGACCACCACCACGTCCACCTTTTAACCCTGACCACCTGGTCCACGTCGCCTCCTGCGTTGGGACCACAGTTTCAGTGACGCCCTGCAGGCCATGTCTGCTGAGCCCCCCAGAGCTGGAGGCTCACACTGCCATGTCTGGAGCAGCTTCACCACAGCCTGGATATCTGCCCTCCAGGCCGCCAGGTCTCTGTGCCCGGAGAGGCCATTCAAGCGGTCAGAGCTCCGGGTTCTAGAACATGGCCAAGAAAGGGCCACCTGGAAAGCTTGGCCCACCGTGGCCCGGTGCAGAGGGGCCGTCCTGAGTGGCCGGTGGCAGCCGTGCCCTCAGAAGGTGAAGGCGTACACCACCCCGACCACCACGATGTTTCCCAGCGTCGCTATGATGGCGATCCACAGCAAGACGGCGTCGTTGGAGGACCTAGGAGGCTCTTCCAGCTGGCCCTGGCCGTTGGAGGCCGTGTGGACGTTGGCGGAGGAGTTAAACAGGGAGTACTCGGTGCTGAAGTCCTCGTTGGGCGAGTCCATGAAGGCTCCTCCCATCATGGGCAGCTGTGAGGAAGGAGAGAGAATTAACAGGGCAGCTGCAGGACAGGTGCCCCTCAGGGGAGCCACCACTGGGAACTGCACTTTGTCCCTGGCACCCAGGCAGGACATGGCCTTCCTGCGTGTAAGTGACAGCGTGTTTCAGTGACGGAAAACGAGGATTCATGGCAAGGTGTGTGGCGGGTGCCCTTGTGCCCACTCCACAGGCAAGAGCTTCAAGAAGAGCACCCGACAGCCAGCAGGCGACTCCTGGGGACTCACAGCGCCACCCCCACACCAGGCCTGCAAGTAGCATGGTCTGCCACTTCCCCCAATCCTCTCCCGAGTTTACAAATATGCTGTGATCAGCACGGAACACTAAGAAAATAGTGTCTTCTAAATCCTCTGCACATTCGTCCTCTTGGCCATGCTTGGCCCTCTGCAGAATGCGGGTGCCTTGGCGCTCCCCTCCCTCCTCCAGGGCCACCTGTGCGGGTTCCTAGACAGGCCACCCTCCCTCCATCCTGCAGAGGTCCCTGGCCTGAGCCTGCTGCCTTCCTCTCTCTGGGAGGGACACACAGTGCCTCTGTGTCAGTTTCCTGTTGCTATAGTGACAAATTGCCACAAATTCAGGGGTTTAGAACAACACCAGCTTATTACTTTATAGATGTGGAGGTCTCCCGGGACCACAGTCAAGGTGTAAGTCAAGCAAAAATGAGAACAAAGATGAGACTCATCATCCCCACACGTAATCCCTGTAACATTTTAATGTTTTTTCTCTTCAATGCTTTTTTTCTGGAGGTGTATGTATCAGAGGCCAGGGAGAGAGGCCGGGGGGATTCACCTATGTATTAAGAAGTCCATCCAAACCCCATTCCAACAGTTGTGTAATATTCCATCAAACACAGAAGCCCTAATTTAATCCTCCCCCTAGAGTTGGACGCAGGAGTTTCCAGTTTTGCCTTTTACGTAAGACGCACTGATAAGCCCTGTGCATCCGGGTGGACACATCCTTGCACTCACATTTTTATTTCAGGGGACAGATGCCACATGCACAATTTCTGAGTCCATAGTGATGAATATTTTAGAGTTTCTGGTCCACAGGGACAAACTCCCCCTAGGAGAGTGCTTCTAGCTGCCCCGGCCTGGGCTGCGCGTCACTGACCTGAGGATGCGGGCCCTTGTCTCTGGGGATCAGAACTACCTATCTCCGCGTGATGGGGAGGCTCCCATCTGTTCCATCTGCAGGATGGAGCTGGGGGTGGGGGGTCGGTCGCTCAGAGAGAAAGGGCGGCCCCAGACCTAACAGGGAAGAAGGCTCTCCCTGCCCCCGCCTAGGAGAACAATGTCCAGGCTGTCCCAGGCCCTGCCGCCCTCCCTCGCCCCCAGAGCCAGTGTGGAGATGTATTAATTCCCAGGTTTGGTTCTGCACCAATTTGGCTTCTGATAAATGTCTCCCTCACATGGCACCTGAAGGGACGAACAGGAGACAGTGACCTCTTCCTGGACACATGTCCACAGGCCCTGCTGGCCAGGGCATGCGCCAGAGATATTAATATACTCACTTCTCCTGGTTGATGGCAGAGCTGCACCCCATTTTACAGGGGGGTAAGCAGAGGTTGAGGCCACAATCTGTTAGGGTGTGGAGCAGGTCAGTCTGGAGCCTGGGCCCCCCCGACTCAGGGCTCAACCAGTCCCGGTGGGTGGCTGGGTCTCGGGGCCTCCTTGTTACTGATAAACAAGCTGAGCACTGCTGTGACTGAGAAGCGCGACCTCTGATGGGCTCCTGACTGGAGGAGCTTGGCATTTCTTTGCTGACCACTTGCTGCCCTGATCGCAGTGATGAAGCCATGTGTACTGGGGTGTGGTGATGGGAAAGGGCCACTAGGGGGCGCTCAGGCTGGGCTCCTCCCAGATGGGGGCTGTTGGCCCTGGGAGTGAGCTGGCTCCAGAGGTGCATTCATATACATAATCAAGTCAGCACTGTTTTAGTGCGTCCATAAACAATGACGGACATAAATGGGACAGATAACAGATGACAGGGCTCCTTGACAACGCGATGGGGTTATGTCCCTACAAACCCGTGGTAAGTGGAAGATATTATCAGTAGAAAATGCGCTCAGATGCCCAACCCAACAAGCACTGGAGCTCAGCAACTCAGCCAAATGCAGTCTCTGGCTCCCCCTCCAGTAGGCAGGGCTGGCGGAGCTGTGGCCACTGACCCTGCCCAGCATCAGCAGAGAGGACTGGGCTTCCTACCCAGATTCCAAATTCGGAGGGCAGTTTCTATTAAAGGTGCATCGTTTCACACCAGGGCAAGTTAAAAAAAAATCCTATCTGAACCACCGTACACTGGAGACCGTCTGCATAGACATTAACAAAGCTATTAAAATTAGAAATAAAAGAACTAGGACCTCAGATGGGCCACAGGGATCCGGAACATGTGGGCCAACCGGACAGTGGGGGACAGGAAGGCTGGGCAGAGGGCCTGCTGCCGCTGGGCTCAGCCATCGGGAGGGGCTCTGGGCTTTCCAGCAAAGCTGAGCATGCTGCCCGTCTCAGTGCAACATCCTGTCCCCACAGCACTCCCTGGCTGGCCACTTCTTGGGGCCTGTCCCACACTGTCCCCCAGTGGCCTGGGGGCTCTGTGAGGGGAACTCTATTTATTGTTCTTATCGTGGAGTTCTTAGGAGCTTGCACAGTGGTGCCTAAAGTCCACGCACTGATAAAGACGGCCATTTTCTCCTTTCTACAAACAACTGCTACTCCTACTTGGCTGGTTCTGTCCCCAGGAGGGGTGAATCCCTTCTCTAGGTCATCACTTCTGGGCCTCTATAGGACCCACCCTCCACAAGGCCTCCTAGGCCACTGGAGGCCACTTTCTGCGGTGGCCTCTTAGGAAGTGGGGTCCAGCCAGGGGACGCTGCACGTTCGTCCTCTTGGACATGCAGAACGCGGGTGCCTTGGCCCTCTCCTCCCTCCTCCAGGGCCACCTGTGCGGGTTCCTAGACAGGCCACCCTGACTCCACGCCCCTCCATCCTGTGGAGGTCCCTGGCCTGAGCCTGCTGCCTGCCTGTCTCTGGGGCATGTTTGGGTTTGAGAAAATTTTCACCCAAAACGCTGGGGGAGAAAATGGGGATCTGAACAGAGACTGTGGCTCACCACGCCTCTGCTCTCTGCTGCCCTGTGGTGCTCACTCAGCGCCTGTGTTAGTTTCCTGTTGCCACAGTGACAAACTGCCACACATTCAGTGGCTTACAATGAGACGAGTTTATTATAGATCTAGGGGTCTCGCCGGACCACCGCCAAGGTGTCACCAAAGCTGTGCCCCCCGAGGTGCAGGGGAGCCTGGCTTCCTGGCCTCTTCCAGCCTCATACACACCAAGTGCTCTTTTGAAGGGTTGTTGGAAAAGGGCAAGGCTGACTCCTCAGGCTGAACTCCCTCCGCCTCTTTCTTAACACAAAAAAGGGGTAACAAGTGGAACCACAGGAACTGGTGGGGTGAAACCAGCAGGGGCTCCCCTAGGAGTGCCTCTAGACCAATCCCAGAGCTCCTCAGCAATGGGACAGTCCCCACGCTGACACCCTCTGCCCTGCCCTGCACCTGTGGTGAGGGCTCAGGTGGCCAGAGGGCGTGGCCACTGTCAGACTGATTCTGCTGCCCCAGAGCCCGGGGACCAGGGTGGGAAAGGCGGGGTGGGACGAGGTTCAGAAAGACTCGGGCGAATCCTGCCTGAACACACGTCGGGGTCTGGGTGTGTCAGTTACACACTGCACTTAATTTCCTTCCTGTAAGTAATGGGGATAAGACAGACGAGCAGGTGAGATTGTTGCAAGGGGCACCTGAGACCCATACGATGACAGGGCACCTGCTAATCTCTGCTGGGGTTTGCACGTGGTTTTAACCTCCAGGGATTCATGTGTTGGAAGCCGGGTCCTCAGGGTGGCCATGTTAAAGGCGATGGACCTTTAAGAGGTGGAGCCTATGGAGGTCACTGGGGACTGCCATCAAAAGGGACTAAGCAGTTCTGGTGGGACACCAGTTAGTTCCTGCAAGAGGTTGTCATAAAAGAGCTAGCCAGACACTTTCTCATTCCTGGGCTTCCTGTCCTACCAGGTGACCTCTCCCTCTTGCATGTATTCTAATGAAAGTGCCATCTGCCAAGATGTGATGCAGTCAGGAGGGCCCTCCCCAGAGCTGGCACCATGCTGTTTGGACTTTCTGCCTCCAAACTGTGAACTAAATAAACCTCTTTTCTTAATAAACTATCCAGCTTCAGTTATTTCCTTACAGTAACAAAGAACAGACTACTTGATCATTACTAATATTCTTCCCTTCTATGGTTCCTGTAGTAATTGAACACTTATTATTATGCATCTCTTCACCTACTGCTGAGGCCAAAGTAAGGAAATCAGAAGGCAGGCATTGCTAGCCATGCGTTTTTTGTGTGATCAATTAATCAGTTCATTTGCAGTTGTTGACAGATGGTCCCGCACGCCTCCAACTTAGACTAAGGCAGGCAGCTGAGGTGCGCCAAATCCATCTGTCTCAGGTGTGTTGCTTCTGTTTTGTGTTGATGTTCTTTTTTTCTCCTTTGTAAAATAGACTGTAAATTCAAAGTGCTGGTTAGCTATGAAAATGACTTTAAGCACTGAAAATCTCATGACAGGACAACAAATGGTCGGTGCTTATTCGATCATTTGGAGGCTGGGAAGATTTGGTGAAGAGCTGGCTCATGTCACATGGAGGGGGCGCTGGCCAAAGTCACCTTGGAAACAGGTGGAGAAAGAAGGTGGCTTTCAGAGGCCACCCAGCCCTCGGGGTCCACTTTTAAGTCACTGTTGGAGACACCTGCTGGTGGCATGACTTTGTTGGCATGGTGACGAGGGTCGCTCACGCAGCAGGGCAGGGGCAGCCCTGAGAACAGCATCCTTGGTGGGGTACAGACACGAGCCTGGAGCACCGCAAGGTCTTGCACACAGACAAGAATTGGCCGAGGGTGCAGAGCTGCCAATAGCTTCCTCT